ACAGAAACTGCTTTTTTTTTAAAAAACATCTTTACCTTCCAATCAACTGGGGTGGCAACCCTTTTTTCTGCTGTCAGCTGGAGAGAGATGACTACCCTGAGAATCTCATCAAAGTTCCTGCCAGTGGTAGCTGGGTAGAGGATAGACAGCTTCAGCTTCTTATCAGGACCAAAAACAAACACCTGCAAAGCACAGAAAGGCATAAATAGGAAGAGTTCTTTGAGTGTTTTTGATATTAAAGCCACTTAGAAAGCTCTGCAGTCATTAATAATTTTCAAGGGTATAAAAACAAGACAAAAACAAAGCACCAAAAGGATACACCAACTGCTAATGTGGATGGCTGGAATACAGGTAATTTTCTTCTCTCTGTTATTTTCTAAACTTAGAAGGGAATTCCATTTGGTTCTGGCTATCCCAGTAAGAAAAACTGATATGCAAATTTAATCCAGGAAAGGCTATGTCCACTGGGGATGACTATCATAAAACTAATACTAATGGGAGTTGATATTGTTCCTTGAATAGTTGTGCATTTATTCAGATGAGGGATCGGGTTTGTTCTCTAGTGGACAGAGGACAGAACAAATACAAATTTAAAAACAGAGCTGCCTTATGAAGAAGGATATGGCCAATCACTTTAAAGACAGGGTGGTCAGGAGAGCTATGAAAAGGTTTCTCAATTCTGGAGGACATTTTAGGATAAACAACCTTTTTTTTTTTTTTTTTGTAGATTTCCATGAACTATGAATTAAGCAGTTGAAAAATTTAGTTGAAAATTTCAGCCACTTTGCATCAGCATTACAGATAATCAGTGATATTGTTGCCAATACACAGTTATTTCATAATTGTAGATACTCCCCTATCTCCTCTAGCTGGTACGAGCATTTACATGGACATACAGCCTGATCAGTTATGCTGACTACAAAATGAATCTGTATGACCTACCACACGAGCTGTCACAGGCATGCCCTTTTCATCCTTCTCTGCTGGATCCAGCATGCCCAACAGGATAGCAAGGTCCCGATTCTTATCATCGATGATGGGAAAAGGTAACTTTTCTGTGGGCTCTTCACAGTTGTAAGCATTGATATCCTGAAACACAAGTAAAAGGGGAAAGAGGAATCTAAACTTAACACATGCTCTGAATTTCATCAGTTAACAGGCATCACCTTGCAAGACAGGAAAGAGGACCAAATCACAGTAATTTTCTTTAAGCAATTTTAATTTTAAAAAGTGAGTAAATCAACACTTTTCATTCCAATTATTGCCAGGAATAACAGCAGAGTACAGTACTTAGGTTGTAATCATGGACCAAAGCCATTTTCATGCCCAGTTCTCTTAAATTCAGCATGCTTCCACTGCCATGAGAAAACAGCAGCAACCCCTTTAACATTGCAATAATTTAGTTACATCCAAATACAAGGCACCTCTGGATACCCAAATACTGTAAAAACCATCAGATACAACAGGTTTGTTAAATCCATCACATCTAGAAATAATACCATATGTAAAGAAAATCTTATAGCTCTGGTCCCTGCCTCAAAAGCACCCTGACACAGATGTTAAGTTACAAGACAAATAGTAAGAAATGACAAAAAACAAACAAACAAAAAATCACAAAACAAAGCAAACACAAGAATGGAGAGTTGAACATATACTTGAAGGACAAGTCAAAAATAAATGGGTGAAAAGGCAGAGGTAAACCTAAACTAGGGTGAAATGCAAACAGAAAACAAAGCATTTCAAGTCTGAACTAAGGAAAAATGATATGCCTCCCTCCTTCCCTAGTAAAACTTTATTCATCCATTTATTTTTACTTTTTCTATCCCTGGAAGCTTTTGGAGAAAAAAAAATTTAGTTTTGTTATTTGATTAAGCATTGATATAGCACTTAAGGTGGGCTAAGCATTATGGTAAGTACATGTGGAATACAGATGAGTAAGACATGGCTCCTGCCTTCAAAGGAACTTCTAATTTGGTTAGAGATGATTCCAGCATGAAGCAGCAGCAAATGCAAGACTAATGTTAAAAGGTGGACGGTAAATGCTGAAGTACTGAACACTCCCATTTGTAGGACTCCAAGAGTTAGAAAAGGCTTCAAGAAAAGAATAGGACTTCTATCTGGGCCCTCGAAGGATGGGTAAGATTTTTCACAGAGAAAAGAAAGGCATTCTAGGGATCAGGAACTACACACACACACACATATATATAAAAAAATTTTTTTTTTTTTTTGAGACAAGAGTCTTGCTGTATCACCCAGGCTGGAGTGCAGTGGTGCAATCTCGGCTTACTGCAACATCTGCCTCCGAAGTTCAAGCAATTCTCTGCCTCAGCCTCCTGAATAGCTGGGATTACAGGCGCCCGCCACCACACCCGGCTAATTTGTTTTTGTATTTTTAGTAGAAACGGGGTTTCACTATCTTGGCTAGGCTGGTCTTCAACTTCTGACCTTGTGATCCACCTGCCTTGGCCTCCCAAAGTGCTGGGATTATAGGTGTGAGCTAGTGCACTTGTCCAGGAACGATATTAATGAAACATGTGGGCAACTCTGTACATAAACTATTGATAGGAGAGTGAGGAACTTAGTTGGATAGAGTTTAGCAAGTAATGGAAAAAATGATTTAAAATTGGAATCAGGTCTATTATGTGTAGGCTTGAAAGTAAAACAGGAGCTTGATGGCATAGCAGATACAAAACCATTGTGGATTTCTCAACAGAGATGTAACAAATGTGGCATTGATGAGCTCTGAAGTGGATAACAACAAATTCTTATTATTTATTTATTAATTTTTTTGAGGTGGAGTCTTGCTCTGTCGCCCAGGTGGAGTGCAGTGGCACGATCTCAGCTCACTGCAGCCTCCACCTCTTGGGTTCAAGCCATTCTCCTGCCTCAGGCTCCTGGATGACAACACATTCTAACATTCCTTCATTTTATTATCTTAACTTTCTGTTGTCACTGGCTGCCTATTAAGTCACCAGAGCTAAATAATAATTAATATAGTCTCATGCTAGAGGCAGATTATTATATATCAGGTGTATGTCAAAGTTTGGGCACTCCTTCTGGTAGTTCAGACTTTTTTCCTATTCAATGTAATCACAATTGTGAAAACTTCTAAGGCAGAAGCTCAGGGTAATATAAACCTGTGTATGCTTCTATACTTTAAAAGCTATTCTATAATGGGCTACAAACACCTCCTTTGGCAATATGTCACTTTAATTATTGCTATGCACTAATTCTCTACTCTGCCACTTGCATGATGGACACTATATTACACCCATGAACACCAAAGAAAGTATCCTAAATTATTTGGCTTTATTCTATCCTAAATTAGGCTAAATCCTACTTTTTATCATCTTGTATTAAAAAGAACATTGATTTGAGATTCAAATCTCATTGCCATTGGGCAGTCTTGGGCAAGTCCCTCCAAGTTTCTAAGTGAAAAAAGTATTCTCAACGGCAAAAATGAAAATGAAAAATGACAGTGAAAACTACAGTTACCACTCACTGAGAAATGTAAGGAATGAAAAAAATTCTGTTTCAAGATAGATAACTGCCCTTCTTTTTTCTCCTACACATGATTCTTCTAGTCTCAGATATTTAGGATTAACTAGTGTTAACTGCTATAGGATGCAGCCACAGATCCCTGACTCACAAGTCAATACATCTTTTATTCAACTACACATGCTTGACGTAGTTTCTAGTATACATCCCTCAAAAAGTAGTTACCATTATTACTTAACCGCATGTTGTAGTGGAGTCCTTAAAATGTTTTCAAGGTAAATTCAGACCACCAAATTTATTGTTCAAGTAAATTCTTTTGCTAAAAGTAGGTATTTCCTTCAGTTAATTCATTCAACAAATACTGACTGATCACCTAAGACGTACTGAGTAGTGAGCATCGTTCCAGCAGTGCACAAAACAGGAGTCTCTGTTCCTGCTGAGTTTACACTCTACTAGGAAGAAACAAACTAAATAGGTGTAAGTGCAGAGTATTTGAGTGCTGAGGAGGAGGGGATAGTGAATGTGAAAAGGAGTTATCATTTTAGATAATGAGGACAAGAAAGGCTTTGATGAAATGTCCTGTGAGTTGAGACCCAAAAGAGGTGAGGGTAAGTCACACAGATCCCTTGGGAGTCAGTCTTCCATCCATGATATAGGACATATCTTGAAGGTAGAGCTGACAAGTTTGAGGATAAATCAGATGTTATGATGTGAAAAAACATGAAGAATTCAGAATGGCTCCTGGATTTGGGGCGTGAACAATTATAAAAATGCAGTTGCCATTAGCTTAGATGAATAAAACTCTGGATTTAAGAATGAGGCCTAGTTAGACATGCTAGGTTTGAGATGACTGGACATCCCAGGAGAGATGCTAAGTAGGCAGTGGTTACATGAACCTCGAAGCGTCTGGCCTACAGATGAAAATTTGAGAACCACAGCACATAGATGGTATTTAAAGGCATTTCCAAGGGAAAGAGTACAGACAGAAAAGAGAGGAGGTCCAAGAAATAAGTTCAGGGTAACTTCAGCATAAATTAGGAGTTGGGAGATGAAGAATCAGTGAGCAGGAACAGCTAGGATGTGGTGTCCTAGAAGCCAAGAAAGGAAAACAGTGATCACCTAGGTTGAATGCTGCTGGCAGGCCAAGATGAGGTCTGAGAACTGACTGACCAATGGATTTAGCAATGTGATCACTGTGTGGTTCAACTGAAATTTTCAAATAATCAGTGAACTTTGAACCTAAAGCTTACTTGTACCTTAACCTCAAAAACCAAGGACTCTATAATTTATAACTTGACCTATAATCTCAGGCTCAAAGTTCATGCCAATTGATACTAACCTTGCTCCAGGCAAGATGGTCCTCAACACTGTCTATTGAAAGGGCAATCAACTTAACATTCCTCTTGGCAAATTCTGGTGCCAGCTTTGCAGCTCTGCCAAGCTCTGTGGTGCACACTGGGGTAAAGTCCCGAGGGTGGGAGAAGAGAATGCCCCATCTGAAAGGAAGAAAAACAAGGTCACAGTTGAATGAAGAGTTATCACCAACATCACAGAGAATGAAAAGTCACAACTTCCGAATCAAAAACAGGCTTTCTTTTTTAAATGAATGCTTATGACGATATTTACTTCTAAACTTTTCTGTTGAGGAATGCTTTTCAATCTACTTACCTCTAGAGAAGCCTATGCTTATAGCCCGATTTAATCAAAGATATGAAATTCAAGATGATACATATTTAAAAAGACTAATTTTAAGGTGTTGCTTCCTTTAATAATTATGGTGCCACTCTGACTCCTTTTTGGCTAATAAAATCTATGCTGTTCAAGCCAAGTAGCTTACTGAAAAAACTTAATTATTTCTTCTTATCCTTTTCTACATTTTTTTCTAGCACAGACCATGACATTCAGCTCCAATAATGGATGTCCCAGTATGCTCTCAATCCAAACAAATGCCTGACTACAATAATAAACAGATTATGTAATCTGAAATAAATAGGTTTCTATCCTCTATTTATATGTAAAAATTGAAGTCGACACTTGGTTTCTTCGAAGCAAGTGGATACAAAATCTTGTAAAACCACTTTACTGATCTAACCTGCCAAACAGGACACCCAATATTTATACTCTGACAAAACAGTATCACCTTAACAGTTTTACCTATCTCTTCATTTGCAGTTTTTCTTCTTTCTTCAGACCAAGCAGGTAGAATTTTGATAGCCTACAATGTAGATTTCTACAACAGCAAATTCTTAGGTAAATACTAAGATCTAAGTCATCATTGTCTAAGATTTTATAGATTTTGAGCACGTTTCAAGCGGCCACTAAGAAAGCTGACGTACCATTTCCTTCTCCTTGGCAACAGAAACTACTCTTTCAACTGAAAAGGAAAATTGAACACTCAGTTCTCCACATCCCCATCAACTTAAACTATCCTAAACCAGATGATTTAGGCAGGATCCTAAACTAGTAGATAACTAAATCTTGCCTAGATGCCAAGCTGACCTTTCCGAAGTTTCCCTGAGTACAGAGAACAAGCAAAGACAAGGGCACCTCCTTCCCACTTACAGCTTCCATTCAACTCCCAAGGTTTCAAGAAGGAAAAAGATCTTCTTATGAAAAGGATGGAGGGCCCTATGGCAAGACTGGGAAGAAAGTTAATATATATTTTTTAAGATTGTGGAGGTGTGCACTATGTTCACTTTATTATGAAGGGCAAAAGGAAGAACATAGAGTATATCTTTTGAAGTAGATAATATCACTATGAGTAAAATCTAGGCCTTAGATTCTATGGAAAACAATCTATTTAATGGTTAGATGAGACTTAACAGAAGGTCTCCAAAAGTTGAGAAGACATGGAACAGGGCGTTTCCTCCTGTATTGTTAAAGGGAGGATGAATTAGAAAAGTTAGGAGTTCTTTTTCTATTGTCAGTCGGCAGAGACTGTTTTGCTGAATCATGCGAAAGGAACTAGTTTTAAGCCAGTTCACGTCCTTCCCTCCCTCAGAAGTGAAACTCCAGTTTACCTCGTGGCTACAAGTAGGATAAACTCCAAGAATGTCTCACCTTGGCCTTCCTTTCCCTCTAAGTCTTCCTACTGCTGCACTTAAGAGTAATTCAGTGACATTCTCCCATTTTCTTTCTTACCCATTTTCAAAAGACAAAAGGTTTCCTCCTTCAAGAGAATGGTTCCCATTTACTAAGCCCCAGAAGACCCCAGAAAACACATATTTTGCATAGTGAAGATGTGCTATGAAGAAGCTACTTCTACCACTTACAGAAACAGTGATAAGGTCCAGTAAACTCACCCAAGGTAGCACCCAACCTCTCTAGTTGTTTACAATGATCAGGGGTAAGGTAGAGAAAGATATTTTAATTTTTTCTCCTCAAAAATACCTGGATCAAAAATTGACAGTCTGACTTGGGATCATATACAGAATAGAGTTTGGAAAAATCAGGCAAAAATCCACGTCATAAACATATAAAAGGCTCAAACTTCTCTTCCTGGTAAGGTAGGGAATACTACGCCTGATCCTAGGCAGACTTGTCTATTAGTTAATAAATGCAGATATTTTTATCGTGTTCCTAACTATGGCTGATAAAGTACCACTTTTGATCAAATCTAGATGGATCTAGAGGCTAATAAACATTAACGAAACCCCAAAAACGTATGGTTAGCTTAAAAAGCGACAACATTTCTAATTGTTGGAACAGTAAATACGTTTTATGCTAATATTTAATCTACACAAGCTAAGAGTTCTGGAAATAGTTTATGTTTCATGGGGGTGAGGGCTGCAGCCAGAAATGGGAAGGAACACAACTCTAAAAATCCCAAGGATTACTGGAGAAATACTACTACCTAGATCCTAAGTATAAGACTGGCCATAAGCTGTATTTCTAAAGTATTTTTCTGCGTTCAAGGTTTGAATATTCCATTTTTCAACCTTTTTCTGTCCTAGTCCTATCTTTCACAAAGCTTTTTCCTCTATTCAGTGGCTAGAAAAGGGACGTAAGAGGTTGTAAAGGTCCAGGTAGGCACATGATGTGTAAGAATCTCTCCCTGGTTCTCTGCACAGCCCTGTCCAATCATTGATTAATATCATAAGCCTCTCTCTTTGTCTCCCTGGATACTGTACATAAAAAGGATATAAACTGGGGAAGAACTGTCGTCAAACCTCGGAGCCCCACAGTGTAGTGGGACCACTAGAACTCCAGAACCATAATATAACTAGACATGCCTGGAATGCTTCTGATGAAAACTAAGCAACTTCCAGTTTGCTAATCCAGGAGCCGCCAAAAAAAAAAAAAAAAAGGCAACACTGATTCACTACTCCTATTCATAATGGCAAAACTGCCAAGTCAGATCACAGGTCATCAATTTGGCTATCATCAGCAAGCTTATGTGCTGGAAGCAAGGCAGAAAGTGGAGAGGACAGTGAGGCGCAAGCCACTGGGAAACAAAAGAGTCTCAAAGTTGGGGAGTACACGTGTCCTGGAGCCTGGAACGGCCATCACTAGCAAGAATAGGCTACTACAGCTGAACGGCGTCAGAAAGTCCTTCCCTCTAAGCGTTGCAAGTTCTGGAATCTCTGAAGGCACACCTACACAGAGTGTTCTTGGCTCTTCCTAAAGCTGTTATCAAATCATATCTTGGTCATTGAAGGAGGGTCTGGACAAAAAGTCTTTCGGCCACCTATTAGGCAGCTAGTGGTTTTAAATTTCACATTTTGTGCCCAGAAGCCTGCAAATACCCTGCACCCTCAGATAATACGTTGGCCTTCCTGTAACATATAGCCAGCGGCTGTGTCCTCCGACTTTGGCGTCAGACACCCATCCTCCCTAGGGAGCAAATTCCAGAACGGAGGGTGGGAGGGAGGGCGGTGCGACCCTGGGCACTAGACCGGGGAATTGATCGCCAATGCCGACCCGCCCCTGCGTCCTCGGCCTGACCACGCTACCTGCAGTTTACTAAGACGAGTTCAACGGATAACAAACCCTCCCACGGGCAGTGAGTTTCCAGAACCTGCAGAACCCAATTTTGTCCTCCCCATCCCCCACCTTGGCGTGGCCTTGCCCAGCCACGCCGGAGGCTGGGAGGCCTGGAGGGATCCAGTGGCTCGCGCAGGGCAGGCTGAAGGGGTGCCAGCTCCCGGGGGCGCAGCCGACGCTGAGCAGGGGCCACACGGCCTGGCGAGCGCGGAAACCGGTGCGGGGGAGGGGGCGAGCGGCGCAGGGGGCTGAGCGGCAGGGAGGACGGCAGGGAGAAGAAATAGGGAAGGCACCTCCGAGTCCAGGCGCAACCAAGGCCAGGGCAGGGCTACGCGGTGGCCACTTACGAGTCTCCCAGAAAGTCGTGGAAACGGATGCGGCCGACGGTGGTATTGGCCTCAAAGTTGGGAGCCTCGTCCCCGAGAAGCAGACCTCCGGGCATGGCGGCGGCGATGAAGAGGCGCCGCTGGGACAGCAACCAATCGGGTGGTTCTGGCGAAGAAGCAGCCGGTCCCTGCGCGCAGAGAAATAAACGAAGGCGCGAGGGGCGGGTACTGGGGCGGCGGGGGCGGGGCCGCGGGAGGCTGGCCGCTGGGGGCCGGGCCGCGGGGGCGGGGCGGGGCGCGGCGGGGCGCGGGGATGGGCTGGGCCGGGCAGTGACGGGGCGCGACCTGGACAACCGCGGTCGCTGTCCGTGGCGCCGCTGGGCCTGCGACTAGGTGGCATCCTTCGGACACTATAAGCCGTTTCTGCACACGTGATGCGGGGCTCAGTCACGTTTCCCCCTGGAGGCTTGAGGATGCGCCAGGTTTGACTCTGCAGGGCTTGCGCGCTTTGGGGGTGGAAGGAAGAGGAACGAGGCGGCCAGGCGAGCCCCAGGGTGGAGAATCGCCGGGGCGCGCAGGCTGTGGCGGCTTCGCACAGCCGCCCTGGGCGCTGCACGGATCCGCGCGCACGCTCCTGCTCACCCACTCGCGGCCAGCTCCCTACAGAGGAGTGGAGTGACTCCTCGACTCCCATCCCTCTTTTAGTGTGAGCGTCTGAAGTCCTGACTGTCCCAGCCAGCCCAGCCACGATGAGCTGTCTAAGAGGATGTGGTAAGACCCAGAAGTATGGGTGACCTTATGTCAGAGGAAGTGGTTTTCTTATTGCAGCAAAAATTCCCGTACCAACGTCAGTGCTAGGGTAATGTAACTAAACTTTTATTTATTTTTATTCTGCCCTCCCCTTTCTGTTTGTTATGAACCATAAAATATTCAACACAATTATCTTGAAATCTAAATATAAAATTTAAAACATACTCATTGAGACCTACTGTGTGCAGGTCAACTCTGTCGCCCAGGGAGGTGGGCGGCTTAGATTCATTTATTTGCTATGAGCCAAGTACAAGGTAGATAAAATGCCTGTCCTCTTGGAGCTTTCCTTCGTGTGAAGGGAAACCGGTGACAGACAATAAGCACACCGAAATGACCAAAATATGTTAGAAAGCAATCAGTCCTATTCCTAGAACTAAAATAGGGTTATGTGCTTAGAGGGTGACTGGGGGGCTGCTTTGTTTTGGGTGGTCTGGTCTGGGAAAGCCACCAGGATAATGCAGGTAAACTAGTCAGCTCACGGTAGGTGCTCTGGAAATGGTAGCTATTGTTTGGATGATGATACTGGTTCGTGCAATGACTCTTGCTTTGCCTACTGTGTGCTGGGACACTGTGCTAGGCTGTACAATGGAGAGACACAGTTCCTGCTCTTACAAGGAAGGCATATTTATATGCAATTATAATAAAATATAGGGTAAATTTTGATGGGGGAAGGTGTAAGTGATTGGAGTTCAGAGATGAGAAAAATCCTCTGGATGGGGCTGGCAGGCTTACTAAGGCAGAGACATGGCAGTGTTGGGAGTAGTGACTCACATACTGTGATTTGCGTTTTGATCACAGCGATGTGTTTGTGTGTGCACGGTAATCATATTTACCCAGTTCTTCACTGACCCAGGAATTGCAGTAAGATTACTGGTAAAAATTTCCAGCCACTCCAGAAAACCATTTAAAACTAATGTAATTTAATCTCTTATTTGGCTCCGAGCTTTAACAGCTCCTTGTTTTAACTCCCTTTGTAGGGGAGAAAGAGAATAATTGGGAAAGAAGAGTAGTTTGGCCTAAGGCACTATTAACAATGTGTTGTGGAAATAAGCTAGAAAACACAATACTCTATAAATATGGAGAACGAATACAGAAACAGATTATTGATGTCTGTCAAAGGCATAATTATATAATTGTCTGTTGTAAATTAAGCAAAGATAATAAAATACTCATTAAAACTTAACAGCGCCAGAAGCTGTACACTGGCAATGCTCCTTCACTCTGTGAACTTGTTTGCTTTAGACTTTGGAGCATTTTAAATTCTTTTGAATTAACTGTCAGCATTTTGAAAACATGATTTTTCATAAAAATATCTGGATTTTTGTCTCCTGAAAGGTCAGAAGATCTAGCAACACAGCAACACTAGGCCCATGTTCCACTTGGCAAACCGTGGCTGCTGAGTAGCCCTCTTAGAGAGCATATGTTCTCTGTTACTCGGAAGGTCCTCTGCCAATTACTGACATTAGAGTGGAATTGGGAGGAAAAACAAATAGTTCTTGCATCCCTATCTGTCAAAACTGTGCAAATGAAAGCTTAACTAAGGGCTGTATGTTTCAAGGAAAAAACAAGCATGTTTGTTTGTGAAAGTAGAGAATGTTCCGTGAACTTAATGTGCAAACAAAGTCAGAAGAACACTGTTCTGCCTGGCCTTCGTAGGTAATTGAGTTTAGCATCTGACTTATACAGAAGGTAGGTGCTCTGTGGACGGGGCCCCATTCCAGAGGGGAAATTTTAAAGCTATTTTCCTGAGGGTCAGTGAGAAGTATAATGGGAAAGGAAGAAAGGAGGAAGGATAGGGGAGATATTCCAGGGAAAGACCGGAGTGTGGAAAAGGAGAACTTGACTAAGAAAGGATTTACTTTCCTTAGAGAGAAGGTGGAGGCTGTCATATCAGAAAAAATGTTTTCAGACAGCTGTAAGGGTTAGAGAGAACCTTGAAGTCCTTACAGTGATCTGAGGGACAGGAAAGAAGGGATTTCAGGGATTTTCAGAGGGCTGTGACTCTGGGATGACTCACCTCTTCTGTCCTTACTGCTTTGACAGAAGAATAAGATGAACAGATTGGCAATGGACATTTGGAAAAACAGCTGTGCACTATAATGCCTATCTCTCTCACCAGATTGTGAACTCCTAAAGGTTTGAGTATATTTTGTTAATGAATATTTGTGACCTTTTAGATATAGTGGGCATGAGGACTACGTTGTACAAAGTATTAGAGAAACATTTGGTTGCCTTCCTGCAGCCGTAACAGCAACATTTCTTGTTTGTCCACAGCTGGCAGTAAAAGAACCAGATGTCTCTAGTTATACAGTCATGTGATACAACATTACTACGTATACTACAGTGGTCCCGTAAGATGATAATGGTGCTGAAAAATTCCTATCGCATAGTGACGTGTTGAGGATCCTGACCCTGTGAAGCCCTAGGCTGATGTGTGCGTTTATGTCTTTGTTTTTAATTTTTAAAAAGTTTCAAAAGAAAAAAACCTTTTAGAAATATAAAAAAGTTTATGGAATAAGAATATAAAAAAGAAAATACAGTATTTTGTATAGCTATACAATGTGTTTATGTTTTAAACTAAGATTACAAAAGAGTCAAAACATTAAAACAACTTTGAAGTTTATAAAGTAAAAAAGTTATAGTAAGGTAAGGTTAATTTGTTATTGACGAAATAAATTTTTACACATGAATTTAGTGTAGCCTAAATGTACAGTGTTTATAAAGTCTACAGTACATTCATTCACCACGCACTCACTGGCTCACCCACAGCAACTTCCAGTCCTGCTAGCTATATTCATGGTAAATGCCCTATATGGGTGTACCATTTTTTGTCCTTTTTTTTTTTCTTTTTTCTTTTTGAGACAGGGCCTTGCTCTGTCACCCAGACTGGAGTGCAGTGGTGTGATCATAGCTCACTGCAGCCTCAAGCTCCTGGGCTCAAGCAGTCCTCCCACTTCAGCCTCCTGAGTAGCTGGGACTACAGGTACATGCTACCATACCTGGCAATTGTTTTATTTTTGGTAGAGACGGGGTCTTCCTAACCTATGTTGCCCAGGCTGGTCTCGAGCTCCTGGGCTCAAGCAGTCCTCCCATCTTGGCCTTCCAAAGGGCTGGGATTACAGGCTTGAGCCGTATTTACCATAGTGTTATAATTGCCTGCAGTATTCAGTATAGTAATGTGCTGTGCAGGTTTGAGGCGTAGGAGCAATAAGCTTATACCATATAGCCTAGGTAGGTAGTAGACTATACCATCTAGGTTTGTGTAAGTGCACTCCATGATGTTCACACAATGACGAAATTGCCTAATGACGCATTTCTCAGAACATAGCCCCATCATTAAGTGATGCATGACTGTAATTAGAGCTAGGTAAAAATCCCTATACCAATGGGAGGAGACATATAAAACTAAAAATTAATGTTAGGATGGTGAGATTTTTTTTTTTTAAACTCTTATAAACTTTCTTGTTAGATTTGGTTGTCTTTTCAGAAATGAAGCTTGGGCACAGTAACCTGTACATATTGTTAAGGCAGTCCTGTCAACCTTCAGTGAGTGGGGCTGATAATCTCTCCACTGCTCTTCTTTATCACTGTGATAGTTTGTTTTCATGATGCTGAGAAAGATATACCTGAAACTGGGTCATTTATACAGGAAAGAGGTTTAATGGACTTATAGTTCCACGTGGCTGGGGAGGCAGAACGTTGATGGTGGCAGGCAAAAAGAGAGCTTGTGCAGGGAAACTCTTAGTTTTAAAACCATCAGATCTTGTGAGACTCATTCAGTATCATGAGAACAGTGCAGGAAAGACCTGCTGCAATAATTCAGTCACCTCCCATTGGGTTCCTTCTACCCTGTGTGGAATTGTGAGAGTTATAATTCAAGATGAGATTTGGGTGGGGGCACAGCCAACCCGTATCATTCTGCCCCACCCAAATCTCATGTCCTCACATTTCAAACCGATCATGCCTTCCCAACAGTCCCCCAAAGTCTTAACTCATTTCAGCTTTAACTCAGAAGTCCCCAGTTTAAAGTCTCATCTGAAACAAGGCAAGTCCCTTCTGCCTATGAGCCTGTAAAATCAAAAGCAAGTTAGTTCCTAGATACAATGGGGTTACAGGCATTGGGTAAATACAACCATTCCAAGTAGGAGAAATTGGCCAAAACAAAGGGTCTACAGGCCCCATGCAAGCCCAAAATCCAGCAGGGCAGTAAAATATAAAAGCTCCAAAATTATGTCCTTTGACTCCATGTCTTGCATCCGGGTCATGCTGATGAAAGACGTGGGTTCCCATGTCTTGGGCAGCTCCACCCCTGTGGCTCTGCATGGCACAGCCTCCCACTTGGCTGCTTTCACAGGCTGGTGTTGAGTGTCTGTAGCTTTTCCAGGCACATGGTGCAAGCTGTTGGTGGATCTACTATTCTGGGATCTGGAGGATGGTGGCCCTCTTCTCACAGTTCCACTAGGCAGTGCCCCAGTAGGGACTCTATGTGGGGGATCTGACCCCACATTTCCTTTCTGCATTGCCTTGATAGCCCTGGCCCTGCAGCAAACTTCTGCCTGGATATCCAGGCATTTCCATACATCCTCTGAAATCTAGGCAGAGGTTCTCAAACCTCAATTCTTGACTTTTGTGCACCTGTAGGCTCAACACCATGTGGAAGCTGCCAAGGCTTGGGGCTTGCACCCTCTGAAGCCATGGCCCAAGCTGTATATTGGCCCCTTTTAGTCATGGCTAAAAGGAGCAGCTGGGACACAGGGCACCAAGTCCCCAGACTGCATACAGCATGGGGACCCTGGGCCTGGCCCACAAAACCATTTTTTCCTTCTAGGTCTCCAGGCCTGTGATAGGAGGGGCTGCTGCGAAGACCTCTGACATGCCCTGGAGACATTTTCCCCATTGTCTTGGGGATTAACATTTGGCTCCTTGTTATTTATGCACATTTCTGTAGCCAGATTGAATTTCTCCTAAGAAAATGGGATTTTCTTTTCTATCACATTGTCAGGCTGCAAATTTTCTGAACTTTTATGCTTTGCTTCCCTTATGAAACTGAATGCCTTTAACAGCATCCAAGTTACCTCTTGAATGCTTTGCTGCTTAGAAATTTCTTCTGCCGGATACTCTAAATCATCTCTGTCAGGTTCAAAGTTCCACAGATATCTAGGGCAGGGGTGAAAAACTGCCAGCCTCTTGACTAAAACATAACCAGAGTCACCATTGCTGTAGTTCCCAACAAGTTCCTCATCTCCATCTGAGACCACCTCAGCCTGGATTTCATTGTCCATATCATTATCAGCATTTTAGTCAAAGGCATTCAACAAGTATCTAGGGAGTTCCAAGCTTTCCCACATTTTCCTATCTTCTTCTGAGTCCTCCAAACTGTTCCAACCTCTGCCTGTTACTCAGTTCCAAAGTTGATTCCACATTTTTGGGTATCTCTTCAGCAGTACCCAACTCTACTGGTACCGGTTTACTGTATTAGTTCATTTTCACACTGCTGATAAAGACATACCTGAGACTGGGTAATTTATATGGGAAAGAGATTTAATAGACTTACAGTTCCACATGGCTGGGGAGGCCTCACGATCATGGCAGAAGGCAAGGAGGAGCAAGTCACATCTTATGTGGATGGTGGCAGGGAAAAAGAAAGCTTGTGCAGGGAAACTCCCGTTTTTAAACCATCAGATCTCATGAGACTCATTCATTATCATGAGAACAGTGCAGGAAAGACCTGCCCCCATGATTCATTTACCTTCTACTGGGCTCCTCTCATAACACATGGAAATTGTGGAAGTTAAATTCAAGATGAGATTTGGATGGGGACACAGACAAACCATATCAATCATGTTTAATGTTGTCATTATATGTACTACTCCCTATTATATCTACTGCAGGACTTCTACACTCTGGAGAGAAATCAAAGTAGGAAATGTAGGAGTGAAAATGAAAGACAACAGCTTATAAAATGCTACAGTGAGGAATAACTCTCAGAGGGGTTTTGGAGTAGTAAATTATTATTGTTTTTATTTGATTCAGGACCTCACTTCACCCAGGCTGGAGTGCAGTGGCATAAACTTGGCTCAGTGCAGCCTCCAGCTCCTGGGCTCAAGCATCCTCTGCCTCAGATTCCTGAGTAGCTAGGACTACAAGTGTGCCTACGCTCCCTCATAAAGAAAGCTGGCCACTTGGTGACTGCACAGGACCATTGATCTAGATGCTGGCTGTTACATGTGTGTAGTTTGTAAAAATTCATCAAACTGTATGTTTAAGATAATTGCCATTTTCTCTTTGTATATTTTGCAGTACTTCAATAAAGCTAAAAAAAAACAAGAAGAAAAGAAAATAAAAAGAAACTGCCACTGTGTGTACATTAGAATAGTTGTATATGAACTATTATTTTCCTGAATTGTTCAAAAAGCTCACTCTAGTATTTCAAAACAAACTTCAGGAAGTTTCAGTCAATGTTGCTAAATTGTTAAAATCACTGTAATTACCAGGAAGGTTCTTCTTACATGAAAACCATTGTTGAGATCATGCTTTCTTTATAAAACCTTTGTTTAGGTGCATCCTGGGTGTAGAGGCTCATTGAATGGTTGATAGCCCATAGCCTCTGGCTGTGATTGAGTAGATATCACACCCAGAGGTGGTAGACATCTTTGAGAGCCTCTACTCTACAAAATTCTTTACATATTCACTCATTGAGATAGTTGACATCCCCGCAACAAGTGGTACATTTGACTAGCCTGGTATCTGGTTGATGTGGTTGGGCTGAGTCCCCATCCAAATCTCATCTTCAGTTGTAGTTCCCATAATCCCCACGTGTTGTGGGAGGGAATCTCATGGGGTTCTTGTGACAATGAGTGAGTTCTCACAAAATCTGATGGATTTATAAGAGGCTTTTCTCCCACTTTGCTCTGCAGTTTTCCTTGCTGCCGCCATGTGGAGAGGGACGTGTTGCCTCCCCTTTTACTATGACTGCAAGTTTCCTGAGGTCTCCTCAGCCATGCTGAACTGTTAGTCAATTAACTTCTTTCCTTTATAAATTACCCAGTCTCGGTTATGTTTTATTAGCAGCCTGAGAATGGACTAATACACTGGTGGTCTCTCAGTGCATGTTAGTGCTTTTCCTGAATGTCCTTTCCTCAGGATGTTTACCTTTTAGTAAATAGCCTTCAGACTATAAAGGATCCCTGAAGTTTTGAATGGGGTCATTTTGATGTAGCCTAAAAAATAGACCACTATACTTTAATTTTTAAAAAATTTACCAGATAATATACTCAACATACACCCTTTCCATATTGCAGTGGCTTGGCTGGCCTCACCGTTTCTTCATTCATGTGTGAGCCGCACCCAGGTTCAGGGAGGGAGAAAAGAATATTGAGTGTTTGACAAGGTCAGTTGGGCATTACTTAGTGATAAAAATAGTATAGTTTTTAC